TTTTTTTGGTACCGGGGATCGAACTCGGGTCATTGCGCTTGCGCAGCAGGCTACGAAACCACTGAGCTAAATCCCCGGCCCTAATCCCTTCCTTTTAAACAGTTGCAACCCCTTCTATTGCCTGTATGTAGTAACCAGGAAATACTAAGACCATGTTAAACCTAGTAGATTCTCTCCTAAATAAGTGAGTTAGTAGCTCGCCATCATCACTTGTGAAGCCATAAAAATATAATATTCCTATTAAACTTTGAGGGTTCCATGATTCACCTCAGCAAAAATACCACGTCAATGCACCACCACGCCCAGCTCAAGCCTGCCAAAACTACTTCCGGCAACCATGCTCTCTCCTTGCTTCACCCATCTTTTACTTTTCAGTTGACCTTTCCACTTTGCAGGCCTCATGTGCTGTATATATGGGGGCGGGGGGGGGGCACTACGTACATAGGTGGAAAAGACCACACTAGAAGCATTTGGATAAAGCCCAGAGGAATATTCTGAAATGCTCCCATGGTGGCCAGGACAGCTGGGCCTTGAGCAAGCTCACCAAAGCTATCCCTGCCTCTTCAACAGGGAAGGCATGGCTTCTGCTCTTAGAAAAGTTCCTTCACCTTTGGCCACATAGAAATACAAGTCCTGAGCCCGGCATGGTGGTGCATGTTTGAGGCTGAGGTAGGAAGATCAATGCAAGACTGAGCCCAGCCTGAGCTACACAGCGAGTTTAAGGCCAGCCTGGACTACACAGCAAGACCTTGTCTCAAAGAAACAAACAGGGCCAGGGATTTAGCTCAGTGGTGCCACTGCCTGCCTTGAAAGCATAAGGTCTTGAGTTCAATCCCCAGTACCAAAAAAAAAAAGAGCAGAAACAAACAAACAAACAAATAAATAGGGATGGGAAGGGAAGAGAAAGGAAGAGAGGAAGGAAAGAAGCAAGCAAAGTTTGAAGGCAGATTTAGAACCTGAGCTTGGTTTAAAGTATAGGCGGCATTTAGAAAGAAAAGTGAAGCAGGGAAGAACATTCCAGATGAGAGGAAGGGAAGAGAGACATACAGAAATGAGTCTAGAGAAGAGATCTGCTCAGTTGAACAAATATGTGGGCATGAAGGGGTAGAAAGAGGAGTTGGGAGTTGTGGCACATACATGTAATTCCAGCACTTTGGAAGGCTGAGGCAGGAGGATAAGTTTGAGCCCAGTCTGGGTAACTTAACAGCTTAGTGAGACCCTGTCTCAAAATTTAACATTTTTTAATTTTTTAAAATGTTTGCCAGGCATGGTGGCACATACCTGTAATCCCAGCACTTGGGGAGGCTGAGGCAGGAGGACTGTTGCAAGTTGGCGGCAAGCCTGGACTACATAATGAGTTTATTTTTTGATTTACCATCCTCCTGCCTTAGCTTTAGCCTTAGGTGTGCACCACAATGCCCAGCTTTAAAACATTTTTCTAAAAAAAGAAAAAGGCCTAGACATTTAGTTCAGTGCACAGGATCTGGAATGAATCCCCAGCAGGTATAGGTGGGGGGGGGGGAAAAAAAAAGAGTAGTGAGAAGTAGTAATTGTCTACCAGTATGGAACTGACTGTAAGTAAATCGTCAACACCCTTCTCATGAAGCATAACTAACAGTCTGTAAGGCTGTAATTTAATAACGTAGTGTAACATAGCTGAATGTAACCATAATAATCAATGGCATTAATATAGCTAAAAGCTACTCTGGCTGAAATAGAGGGGGAAAAAGGTGTTCCAAGAAGAATTATAAACCTGGAGACTGGAAAGGGGAATTAAGAACAAAAACAAGGGCCGGGGATTTACCTCAGTGGTTCGAACGCCACCTGCCTCGAAAGCGCAAGGTCCTGAGTTCCATCCCCCGTACCAAAAAAAAAAACCACCAAGACAGTATTTGGTGCATTATTTATTTTAAACCGACCCTGGTGGTGCACGCCTGTGATCTCAACATTCTGGGAGGCTAAGGCGGGAGGACTGCAGTTCAAGCCCAGCCTGGGTAACTTAGTGACTTAGCAAAACCCTGTCTGAAAATTTAAAAAAAATTTTTTTGGTCTGTCTCCTGGGGTTTGAACCCAGTAGACACATGCTGAGCAAGTGCTGTACCACTGAGCTATACTTTCAGTCCCTGAAAATAAAAAAATTTAAAAAGGGCCAGGGATATAGCTCACTTCGAAGGCCTTGGGTTCTATCCCTAATATTGTTAAAAGTTAAAAAAAAAAAAAAAAGTAATTCTGGACCAGAAGCTTTATCAGGGCTGTAAGGTAGCCTACATCCTCAATCTCAGCCAGAACAAGTTCTGGAAACAGCAGAATAAATACTAACTGAATGTCTATTTGGCCCAATTCCTGGGCTTACGGGATGAGTTCGTAGTTTAACAGGGCACACCAAGGCCAGTAGTTCTTACCTGCTGCTGTACACAGCAACACCCTCGGCCCCCAGAATAGAAGCCCCTCCATAAATGTTCACTGAATAATTGTACAAGTAACTCTCCTCAAGGGCTCCTGAGTTGAGGCTCCTGTTTCCACAGATTTAGTTCAGAGGCCTGATTACATGATTTTACAGTGAGCAACCAAAATGCTATCATTCTTTCTTTGCTTTAGCTACCTAAAGAGTTTCTGCATGTTTCCCAGAGTAACTTATCTCCCTGGATTGTGAGATGACTGTTTCAGCTTCCCTTACATAAAACACCTGGAGTAATTTCTGATGGCTGGTGGACCTCTGTGAGAGAACTGGGTGTGTTTCAGAACATCATTTTGGGTACCCTTGCCTTCCTATTTCAAGTGAACTGTGGTGTGTAGATGACAATGAGAAAATTACTGAAGAAAAACAGGGTAAGCAACGTGTACAAATCAAAATAGAGGCCAGGGATTTAGCTCAGTGGTTCTGCCACCTGCCTCGTAGGCACAAGGTCCCAAGTTCGATCCCCAGTACGAAAAAAAAAAGAAAACAAAACAAAATAAAGTCACTGGAAAGTTTCAATAAAATTCGCAGTAAACTTGAATATGGAGCTTGATATGGTCTTAGTCCTAATACTTTGCATAATGTGTTTTCTGATTTCATTTCCTATTTCAACTTTTACCTATTTTCTGGCCTCTATTATGCCATCACAAATAGAAATATTTGCTTACTAATAGGTCACTCTGAAATGAGTTTTCACTTCTGTATTTTGAGAATCACAACAAACCAAGACATTCCAAAACTACTCTTCACGTTGAATTCCATAAATTCTGATTAACATTTCAACCCAGCAGATGTCACTAACAAACGACACCCTATAATACAACCCAAACTACTCTCTTCTGTATGCTCTTCACGGGTACCCAGTAACTAAGCAATAGGCATTAGCATTGTACAGAGCAACTTCACACATCATTTTAGCTATTTTCAAAAAATAAGTATTAAAAGATGCCCGACCCAGTTAAAAAAAAAAATATATATATATATATGGAATCAAAATCAAACCCAGGGCTTCAAACTTGCTAGGCAATTGCTCTACTACTGAGTATATTCCTAGCACTACCACCTCCTTTTCAGACAGGAACTTGCTAAACTGCCAAGTTAGCTTCAAACTTGTAATTCTCCTGCTTCAGCCTCCCACAGTGCTGGGATTACAGTCTTTCCCTAAATTGCTAAGTTGCCCAGGCTGGACTCAAACTTGTGATCCTCCTGCCTCAATGTGTATACCATCACATCTGGCCGAGAAAAATATTTCACCAGTGAGAAAAACGGTGTTCGTTTTCTACCTAAAAGGGATTCTATAAAGCTGTGGAAAGAGCAAGTAGGAAGATGGAGCACACTTATCAGTAATAGATTGGGGAAAGGAGTACAGCAATGAGAGAAAAAATAGGATCCTTTTGGGGCTTGTCTAGCACTTAAAGTAGATGTTGGGTACTAAAAAGCATATCTCTGGGTAGACAGACAGCTCTTTCATTTCCAGAAGCCCTCTGAAGAAACAAAGCACACTACTGTTCTACATTTCTTAGGGAACTTAAAGAAACTGAAAGACTCGCTGTGTCTTGGTGGCTACTTCTCTGGGTATCCATGAATAGCTCCCTCCTAGTGGAGGAGCCCTCTTTGCTCTCTATACCAGAATTCCCAACCTTACTCAACTATCTCCTTCTAAGCAGAACACTCAGTGTGTCAAGATTTCACACAAACATGGTCTCCAGAAACACCCAAGGATGTCCTCCCCTGACAGTAAGTACAGCGTGTAGCGTCCAACAATAGACAGCAGGGCAGGCCCGACGGAAATCATGACAGAACCAGGATTCCGCCCTCCAAAGGGCTTTCTGGATTCCTTTGCTGTGTGGTTTCCTAAGAGGGGTCCAGAGAAAAGCAGCGACCCCAGGTAAAGGAGACTCTAAGCCCAAAGAAAAGTCCAGGTCTTCCAGACCACACTGGGGTCCCCGTGGAGAGGACCGCTTCCTCCGGGGGTCGTCGGGGAAAGCTCGGGCTGCCCCACCTCCAGACCCGCAAGCTACTCCCGCCCCGGCGCAGAGCGGAGCCCCAAGGTACGGGATAGAGAGCGCAGACCCCGCCACCCACGCCGGCCCGCAGCCCGACGCCGGGCGCGCTCACCCACGTCCACGCCCCGCGCGGCGGCCTTTCCTTCCTCCGCAGCGCACAGCTCCGCCGGGTCGCTGCTCAGCGCACGCCCCTCCCTCAGGCCGCCAAGCACCGCTTCCTGAGTCCCGGGCCCGCGCCCGTATTTAAAGGCGGCTACTGGGGAAGGCGGAGGCTTCATTCCCCCCTCAACCAGGCCCTCCCGGACTCTGCCCCCAGCCGCTTCCCGCTCCACCTTTTTCCTGGCCCTTTTCCTCCAGGGCACGGAGCGGGGGGGGAAGGGGCGGGGCAGGCAAGGAGTCCCCGCCCCCGATCGAGCAAAGCGAATCCTCTCGCGCCAGCTCGGCGGCCCCGCCCCCACCGCTGCCGACGCGGAGCTGCTCTGAGAGTCACGCTTCGGCTAGGCCGGGAGCTGGGTTCGGAGAGAACCTAGGCCTTCTTCGAGTCCTCCCAGGAGTCGAGGGCAGGTGCTCGGGGTCCAGCCACCCGCCTTCCTGCTGCCCCTTCCTGGCCGGCTGTCGGCGCTGCGACGAGCGCGTTAGGTCAGCTGGGCTTGGGTTGCGGGCCAATGCGACCGGAAGTCCCCACTCCGCTTCTGGTCTCCAGCACCTGGAGCGCGCGGACCGAGGCGTCACCCCAGACCCTGCGGGCTGGTCCCCGGGGTAGGTGACGCACCCACCCCGGGCCCGCGGCCCAAGCTTTAGGCACCTCTCTCTGGGCCCGCCGCGTCCGGGAAGGATGCTGAGTTCCGTCCTGACGGATCGGTGGGCGACCCCGCCCGGTCCCTGGCGGGAGGAGCAGGACACCACGCCACGCGGGCGTATTCTCCAGGGATTCCCCGCCCGTCCATACTGCGGGTCTGGGATGTCTGCGTGATACACAGTAGGGAATATGTAACAGATGTGTCAGATGAAGAGTAAAACTACGGGTGGAGCCTGCCTGCCTTAAAAACAGACATGGTCTCGCAATGTGAGCGAAGAATAAAGCCTGGCGCAGCCATGGCTTTTTATTTCCGTTATTAAATGAATTGTGTTGGATGACATACTCTGGAGTCAAAAGTAGTCGTTTCTAACTAGTCACGCGTCCTCCACGATGAGGACATGTCCTGAGAAATGTGCTAGGCGATTACAGCGTTGGGAGAGCATCATAATGTGTACTTGAGGAACTGAGCTGGTTACAGGGTCAGTAGGTGACATCTTAGGGGACAGCCATCAAATTTAACATAAGGCCTTAGTCAAATGGGTTAATGCGGTGCATGACTGTTCCTCATGAGGAAAGTGATTAGGAAGGCACAGTAAAATACCACGGGGATTATTTTCCTGACAGGACCATGATGGCAACTTCAAGAATATCGTTGGAAGCTGGGGATTTAGCTCAGTGGGCGAAAGTGCAAGGTCCCGAGTTTGATCGCCGGTACCAAAAAAAAAAAAAAGAAAATCGATGGATGTTGATTATAGCTTGCTGAGGGCTGTAGAAGGCGTGATAGATCGCTTCTCGGCCTTTTGGCTAAGATCAAGTGAAGGTGTGATACTTTGAATATTCAACCGAGTTCATTCCTCTTAACTGTTTAAGTAACTGTCAGACATCATCCTAGAGATGGAAGATGCAAAATGGGTTAAGACTGTATCCCAGACCTCTGGAAGGCTGAGGCAGGAGTGCACATTCGAACATAGCCTGAGCAACTTGGTGATTGATCAAAACCCTGTTGGGGGGGGGGGTCCGCTGGGGATGTAGCTCAGTGCAGCTGTCCCGAATTCAATCCCCAGTACCCCAAATAACAATAATAAAATAAAATAGACTCAGTACCTTCCAAAGCTCCAACCTTTCTTACCTTTATTTTGAATTCAACATTTTCCTGCAGGATATTCCCCCCACATTCTTCGTTGGTATTTTCTTTTTGTATTAAATTCTTTTATTGGTACATTGTAGGTATACAACACAATTACATCTCTCATTGGAAATTGTACCTTTACATAATGCATCTTGCTTCTTATTTTTTCCCCATTCCTAGCCCTGCCTTCACGCCCTCCACCCTTCCCTATTTACAAAGACTTTATTTCCATTTTTTCCATTTCTCATCATTTTTCCTTTCCCTTCTTTCCTTTCCCCTGACCCTCCCACTACCCCTACCCCTTTGGACCTTTTCTTCCTATTTTACATTATCGATTATTCATTCTAATCATTGGTACATTTTAGGTATACAATATAATGACATTCATCATTGGAAATTTGCACCTTTACATAGTCTCTCTTGGTTCTTATTTTTCACCCTTGCCTAGCCCTCCCTTCAACCCCTCCATTCCTCCCTATTTACAAAGATTTTGTTCCTATTTTTCCATTTTCTCATATTAATCCCATTCCCTTCTATCCTTTCCCCAGCCCTCCCACTTCCTTCCCCTTTACCCCTTTTCTTCCTATTTCACGTTACCTATTATACATTTAGTCCTTATTTACACTTTGAGTTTCTCACACCAGAGAAACTATTCGGTATTTACACATGTGTGTCCTATTTATTTCACTTAAGAGTATGGCCTCAATGTGCATCCACTTAGCTATAAATGTCTCTACATAATCAATAGGATCTCAGATTAGAGTATCAATGCTAGCTAGAGTGGACCATCTAGGTAGGACATCAGTTCTCAAACTGTAACCTGAGAATCTCCAGCTGTTCCTGAGGCCCTTTCAAGAAATCTATGAGGCCAAAACATTTTCAGGACAATATGTTATTTGCTTTTTTCACACAAGTATACAGTGGAATTTTCCAGTGGCTATTAATGGATTGAATGCAGAGGGATATATGAGAATCCAGCTGTCACTTAAAAGATTTACAAAATTAAAAAAAAACAATGTCAATCTTCTTACTAATTTTTATTTGGAAAACAGTAATTTTGCATAAAATGTTATGTATGTAAGCATGTTGTAGATTTATTTTCAACTTAAAGGAATTAATAACTTTTTGAATTAATAATTTTCATAATTTATCACTTCTTGGTTTTTTTGGTACTGGGGATTGAACTTGGGACCTTGCCCTTGCAAGGCAGGTGCTGGAACCACTGAGCTAAATCCCCGGCCCTATCACTTCTTGTTTTTAATTTAAATACCAATAAATATAAACCATACAGGAAAACTGTTTTGGGAGTCTTCTTGCCTCATGCTTGTCAGGCAGATGCTGCGCCACTGAGCTACATTCTTGGCCCCGGAGTCTTCAATTTTTAAACATGCAAAGGGGTCCTAAGTCCAAAACATTTGAGAACTGATATAGGATCAAACAGCTACATGCCTGCTGAGCTGCTAAACACATGCTCTACCACTGACCTACACCTGTGGCCCAAAGCCAAAATTATTTTCAAATTCCATTTCATGGAGCCCTGAACTTCTCTGGTGGTATCAGTTTGTTCAAAAAGAGAATTGGGGGGAGAAAGTAAAGGCGTGGCCTGAGTCTGCCAATTCTCACCTCTCCCTCTAATAAGAGCTGTTCTACTTTTTTTTTTTTCTTTTTGGTACCGGGGATCGAATTTAGGACCTTGCGTTTTCTAGGCAGGTTGCAGCACCACTGAGCTAAGTTCCTGGCCCAGAGCTGTTCTACTTGTATTTGCATTATATATAAACCTTCCATGAAGGGTTTCAGTTTATAAGTGGGCTCTTCTTATATAAAGTTTAAACCAATGATGGGGGAGCCAGGCTGTGTTAAGATGACTGGGAGTGGCGTGGATCTGCAGAAGCTCCTGAGAGCCTGAGTCATGAATATTTTTAAAATGACCACACCAAACAAGACACCTCCTGGTGCTGACCCTAAGTAGTTGGAAAGAACTGGAACAGTAAGGGAAATTGGCTCACAAGCTGTTTGGTCACTCTCATCCTGCAGACCAGGATTTGGAGTGGATCAGTTAGGAGATGACAATCTAGAAATTTACTGGCCATCAGATGGCTCCCAGCCTCATTTAGTGAATATTCAGTTCAGAAGAAAAACAACAGCGAAGACATTATGTATTTATGCAGACTACAAGTCTGATGAAAGCTGCACAACAAGTAAATCTCAGAGTAGGAAATAATTTTTATAATCTTCAAGAAATTCGGCAACTTGAATTGGAGCCAAGTGGCTGGATTCATGTCCCCTTAACTGATACAAGCCAGCGTGTGCACATTCTTGATACAGATTGCTGTTCTAGCCAGTCACCAAAATGGAAGAGACACCCACATGAGATAGATTAAAATATACACACCAGTGCCGGGGATTTAGCTCAGTAGTTTTGCAGCCTGCTGCGCAAGCGCAAGGACCCGAGTTCAATCCCCGGTACCAAAAAAAACAAAACAAAAAATATACACGCCAGTGGAAAAGAGCTCTATTGGTAGATTTCCTAGGTGTACAACTATTCATTTTATAATATATCGTTCAATAAGGTAACTTTAAAATGGAGTAAAAGTGATTAAACATGTTTTATTGTCTCAGATATTGATATAATCAGATACATATTATTGAAAAAAATCAGTTATTTTGCAATTTTATATATGTTTAAAAGTATTTTACTTTGATAAATAAATTGATTTTGGGTTAAAAAAACCAATGGTGAATTAATTCAACAAGTATTTCACCCAATTTACTACATGATAAGATTGTTAGATAAGGTTTTGTTTTTTTGCAGTACTGGGGATCAAACTCAGCTCCCTGATACCAAAAAAAAGAAAAGAAAAAAAAGATCACACTGGCCTGTTCACAAAAGAACTGGACTAGAGTTTATGCAAAACTGATAACTTTCCCCTGGGTCATGAGTACAGTACTTCTCAGAGACTTCCTTCTCACGTTTTAGAGCTCTGTCGGTTTCATCTCTGGAGATAACTTGGGCCCCCCGTTTTGGGTAACAGTGGGCTTGGTCCGTGCAGTAAGAGTAGAAAGATAAGGGAAGGATAAACTCCATGCATTGTTAGAATAAAAAAGCAGATCTTCACCTCCAGTGGGTAATGGATTAGGAATATTAAATGTGATAAATAACAAACTCAAGAGATGGTTGGGGAAATGAATATAGCTTTCATAGTAACCTTTCTCTCTCTTTCACCTCACCAAAAATAACCCAAGGTAGTAGAGATTAGTTTTGTTTTGGATAAATACATTTGGGAGGATTAGTTCCCAGATTCTCAAATTCCAGTAATATAATTTCCTCCCAACAATCTGCGTGAAAACCCACATTACCAAAAAAAAAAAAAAAAAATTGCCTTCCTTAAATCCAAGAAAGCCCTACTAAAATTACTTACCCAGGTATACAACTTGCTTTATGTGCTAAATATAAAAATAAACTAACCCTCAAGAAATCTAAAGTAAATTTTTGTATTTCATCAGAGCTCAAAACTTCGTATTTACAAGGCAAATAGCAGTCCCACTAAACTGTAAAAACCTCAATCTCTAAATATTTTTTCTTTTTTTGACAATTAACATTAGCCCTTGCTAAAGCAAGGCCTCAAAAAATTGAGATAAAAACTCACAATTGTTTCTCTCCACGGAAATCTTTAGTAAAAGGCGAAAGATTTATACGATCTGAAGAGAAAC